AATGAAAAACGGCCGCGAAAGCCTGAAACTGATATTCAAAAAAGGTTTAAAGACATGAAATCCGAACTTCTGCCTGAAAGTTTCCAACCAGGAAGACCAGGAAAATAGGCGAATGCCTTTTCAGACGTTCCGTTTGTTTCAGGAATTTTCTACTGAAACGTCGAAAGCAACCCGAAACTGAGTTAATGGTAAGCCTGGCAAAGCACCAAAGTGTCCTCTTAGTTTGTTTTAATGGGTCATGTATATAGTCATGCGGTAGCTTCATGATTCATACACGTTGTCATACAAGTATCATGGGCGGATCCAGGAATTGTTTTAGGAGGGGGTACACTCTACTTCAACACCAATAAACCACATAGTTTTTTTTCTTTGCAAAATACCAGTTGGATTATAAAACCGCAGGTCATCTCAGGGGAGGGGGGGGGGGGGGCGCACCCCCTGCACCCTCCCCCTAGATCCACCCCTGAGTATATAGGCTCCTCTTTGGCATCCACCTAGCTTTTTTTTTCAGTTTTGAGAGCCCGCAAGGGTAAAAACTTCGAAAAGAACTATTGCACCAATACTTAGTCTAAAATATTTTTATTCTTTAAAATTGTTTCAAGGAAATTAGTTTTTATAAACCAAATTGCATTGATTGGGGATGATTTAATTCGTAAATATCTCTCAATGCAAAAATTCATTCAGTAATCAGTTTTAGTTGTTAGATTTTGTTCTGTTTATATACCATTTTTTCAGGGAAATCGCCAGTCTGAAACTGAACATGAAAGTGTGTGACGCTATCCCAGGGACCCTATATGTTGTATCTGAAGAAAATGCTGCAATCAATGAGAATCATAGGTTTACTGAACGATTTAATTTCGAATTGGCTTTTAATCTGTCTTTAAGTAAATTGTTTAAAGCATATCTATAGGCAACACTGGCGTGACGGGCCGTGTCACGCTATTTTTAACCACTGCAATGTCGCGTTTTTTTGCAAAATTAGGGTTGAACTCAACGTCTCTTGCGGGCTACTTAAAATCGTTTGCCAAGAGATTTGTTTCGATTTTCTGATAGATTGGGGCCTAGTTAAGCAGTAGAAAGTCAATTTTCGGAATTTTAAGTTATAGCGCATTGTAAAAATTTGCATTGTTTTATCCCCATAATTTTGAACGGTAGAAATGGTCAATAGGGCCTATTTTTAATAAACCTTTTTGGCCACAAAATTATTACAGCTTTCACAAATTTATCGTATTATAAGAAAGAAAGGGTCATAAAAACTATTCGTGTTTTTCAGAGGCTGCCAAATCGTTGTGGTTTGACGAGTCAATGGAATTTGTGTAAAATTTCGCTTTACCGGAAGTGGATCTTGAGCTCTGAACGGGCAAAATGCGTTTTCTCGAATTTTAACAAAAGAACACGTTATTTGGGAAAACTAACTACAGCATGTTTCATTACTCATTAAGGGTTATCGATGAGCCAAAAAAGAGCGAAATCCGAATTTTGAACTTGTGCCGACCGTGGGTCGATATTTACGGAAAGGCGCTCTTAATACGCTATGAATCTGGAGTAGTACGGACGCTAAATCCGGATATTTTTTATCCGGTGACGTAGCAAGATCGAGCCCAGTTCGTTACCGTGAAAGGCAGAGAAAGACGAAAATTTCAAATTTGGTATCAGGCACAACACCCAATTGAAAAATACAGCCAAATACACAAAATACAGGGCGGGGAAAGAATAGGCGAGAACACATCACCAAGTCCGTGATGTGAAAAGGGCTAGTACAACACAGGCAAATATTGGAAACTTTGCCTGCATCAAACATTTTGTTACATTTCGTTGCCACGGTGAGGTCATCACTGCACGACTTCAACTTCATGCAGGAGAGTACATTTGTACTGAAGCGAGGTGAAATAATTGCGATAAGGATTAAAAGAACGCAAATGCCCTTTTTAAGGGATGTTTTCAACCTGTCGCCATCCTGGTATCTTAAACTCCTACTTGAGGAATTGACTCCTGGCGGGAAAAAATTACTTCCGGTCACCGTACTAGACGCTTCTGTAGCCCTGGCTTATAGCCTCTAATTATTAGGGACCTTACGATCTGTCGACGGCGACGGCAACGAGAGCGTCACAAAAGCAATGGGTTTAATAACCAAAACAACAATTCTGCGCGTGCATCACGTTTTTTTGTACATTTCTTTGCCGTCACTGCACGACTACGACGTGAAAATGCCTAATTTCACGTTGTACAGTGGAAGTACACAGGCGACGACGAAATTTCCTCCCTCTTTCTGAACTTGGATATGGTTCTTAGGAATTCATCTTTAGGAGGGTTCGCCTACATTTCACAAAGTCAGTGACTTGAAGTAATCGCGATGAAGATTGAAAGAACG